TGTCAGAAAAATTGTCAAGAGTGCACTGCAAATGAAGTGACAGAGTTTCAACATGCCATTTGGTCTGTTGCTGATTCTACATCCTGCAAATTCCTTCAAAAAAGGAAAAGTCCCAATTGTCAAACAGATGCTGCCAGTAATGGTACGTAGTGTTTGTGCAACTAAATATTCCGTTGAGCACCTCCGGCATTTTAAGCACAAAACAATCGCAAAATTCCTTTTGGAAACCACGATCTCTGTGAGAAAGAGTGGCATATCTTGAAGAAAGTCTCATTGGCACCTCCATGAGACACACCCGGGTTGACACAGATGGCTGCTGCAGGCCATGGACGTTTCACAAAAACGGATCTGCCCAGAAAAAACAGTGGCTTTACAGTGGCGATACAAAAGTTTTTGTCATTAGAATTATGTTAATCTCACTGTTCTCACCCGGTGCACGACAAAGCTTCTTCTCAACAATCACACAAAGTGCAGGACATCATAGTGTGTACTTGCACTGTGTGTGGAAAGTCCACACGTTAAAGTCCTTTGAAGTTACAGGGGATATAGATGGATCTAGGAGTCAAGATTCATGGTTGCCCAAAAATCATCAGGTTTACCCTGGTTTACCCTGGCGTATCCACTGGAAGGGTGTCATTTCAGTGGTGAGAGAGGCCGTGCTCTCCGTGCCGAGACGCCCGAGACGGCCTCGGCGGCCTGGCGATCCGCGGCTTTCTCCGTTGGCGAGGACAGAATGACGATGGCAAGGGGCCACAGCTGTCGTAGCCGTTTTGAAGAGTTTCCAGCAGCAATCGCAAATTGGTGCAGTTGTATGAAGTTCAATCCGGCATCTTATGATATTTTTTATAGATGTTCTATTATGTCAAGTTCAACAGGTTCAATGGATATCGGAGCTCCAGATCGGAGCTCCAGATTTCAATGGATGTTAGACGTCGTGTTCCCCTCTTCGAAGTTTCCTTGAAGTTCAAGAGTCGTGATTTCAGGTGCGTCCTTGTCATGATCAACGCAGCACGTTTTATTGAAACATCCTGTTTTGGAGTTCATCCATATCTTTGACATCTGCAGAGGGGACTCTTCTTGGACACCCATGAGCCAATGTGAAGAATGAGAGACATGTTTCTACGCATTGAATCATTACTTCTCAAATACAGCGATGCGAATATTGATCAATTCTATGTATTGAAGGGTGTCAGTTCGGGTGTCAGCAGTGCTCAGGCAACGCGCCCGTGTGGATCTGGTGAGAGAGGAGCGCCAGACGGAACTCGTGAACTTGCTGATGGACAAAGCCTCTTGGCTGCACGGTTGGGCCTCAAGCACCGCAGTGGCCCAAAGATGTCAACTTCAATGGATATAGAAACTTCTGGCGCTTGTGGGGATGAAAGCCGTGAAAGTGGCGTGAGATAGTGCAAGTCCGGTCCTCGCAAGCCACCTGTCAACAAGTGAGCATAGATCAACATAGATCAACCACGAATCTGATTGAGCTTGCAGACTTGATTTGGTGGCCATGCATGGGATTCTCTGCGTTAACCCCGCTGACCCTTTCCAGTTCCATGGTCTCCGGAGACAACATCAAGAACAGGCTGGATGTTCTTTGATTGTCTCCAGCTACACATGGCCTAAAGGTTCTGAAATGTCACAGATGGGTATGCGCCGAAGTACCACAAGGACCAAGGAGTTTGTCATGTGTTCGTTCATGATGAGCTTAATCCCTTCCTCCTAATACTAAACCCCCCCCCAATACAAAACACGGCAGGTAGTTTTTAGTATTAGGGGGGTATTTATTATTAGGGAACCAAATCGAAGTCATGTTAATTAATTAATTAAATTTCCTTATATAACGCAATTAAAATATTGCCAAAAATGGCAGTTCGAAGCTTACCCCTAATACTAAATTAAAACCCTTAATACTAAAAACTATTTTTTCCGATCTCAAAATCAATTAAATTTCCTTATATAACGCAATTAAAATATTGCCAAAAATGGCAGTTCGAAGCTTACCCCTAATTGCTAGAGTAGCCAGGCAGCTTGGAGTGAGGGATTGGGACTAGGCCCCCCTAATACTAAACACCCCGGGGTGAACTAGTTTTTAGTATTAGGGGGGAGAACCCACAAATGGTAGGTTGATTTTTAAATTGTTTTTTAAAGGGGATCAATTAAAAGTCAAATTGACCAAACTGAAATTTTCGGAAATTGGAGATGGATGCCTGTTTTTAGTATTAGGGGGACGTTTCGTATTAGGAGGAAGGGATTAGACTTATCAACATCTCCGTATTTTCATGTATTTTCAGGTTTAACCCTGCAACGGTGCAACCATTTTTGAAGTGCAAGTGCGCTGTGCACCTTCTCGCCGCCCAAGGCATGAACCGGAAGGCCTGGCACATGGAGTAGCTGAGCGATGTTTGCGAATCCGCCTGATGTTTTTACTTTGGTGTTTCATGTGAGCGGCTGTCAATATTCGTGGTAGTCAGGATGCAATAAGTAGTAAAAGGTCAGCCACAATCCATCAATTTGGAGGAATCAGAACTTTATACTACTGTAAGACTAATGATTTTGACAGCTGCCCATGCCCATGTGCATTTAGACGGCCCTGGCCCCGGTAATAATTTTCAAGACAGTATTATGTATCGACATGGCAATGCTTCATTTTGGAGAGGCACATGGTCCATAGTGAAATTTGATGAAAGTTGCAGTTTTACCCTTCAACCTCAGTGCGTAGCAAGATCACGTCACACCTGTGGTAGCCTTTGACATCGTTTGATCATCAATTTGGAAAGGGGGAATTTGGAAAGGGGAATTTTGTCAGCTGCATTGACCCGCAGCTGCAATTAGCTCCCGAGTTTCTTTAATCTTTGCTGATGGTATCCCCATTATTTCTTGCTTAAATCCCATGGAACAGCATGATTTCCTCGTGTTTGTTTGCCTTCCCATCAGGCAAAGGTCTCCTCGGCTTGACTAAGTGGTCTCTGGGGTAAGCTTCCCAAAATGTCCAAAAGCGGATTCGGGGCCAAAGGTGCCCTGAAGAGGTGCATCCTGTGATCAAAAATGCGCTGCCCAACTCCTTCAGGGTCACCGGGTGGTCAGAATTGGGTCTCAAAATAATTGGATGGTTTCAACGCCATGATCTGTGGTTCCATGGTGCCTCACGGAGAAGAGGTTCCTTTTGAGTTTCGTCTCAGTTTGGGATTGAGCTCAGCAAGTGGCTTCGACCTCCTCCAGCCATCACGGGTATAGCCTGAACCTGAAGATTCCCGTCAGTAGTTCATTTATAATAATTTTGATTACCTCATATTACCTCCAAATTGTTGTCTTTCATTGTATAGTGACATGGTGAGCAAACGATCGCAAAATGACGTGTAAATCCATGGAGCTTGGCTTCATGATCATCCCAGCAACCCAGTCAGGACTTTTTCCAATGCAAATTGCAAGACGCATCAAGAAGTAACAAATACCATTCTTCAGCTGGAGTCTTTTAACAGCTCCGTCGACTGTTGCGTGATGTCTCGATGTTCGGAGGAAAAAACTTCAAGGTTTTGCTTTAATATATAATTTCTTTTTTTCTGTGGGGTCTGTTAGAGGTGGTCAAGCTTAATGTGGGGTCAAAGTGCCATGGAAGATGTGCATATATGTGCATGTAATACGCGATCGATGTCACACGATTCCATTTTCAGGTTCAAAGCAACATTGGGACACTTCAGCTCTTCACATGTTTGTGCCAAACTATGATCTTTCTCATTGCGATTGAAATTGAATTTTATGATACTTTTCATTAGCAATTTCAATTGAATCCATGGTGTTGGATGGGCTTGTTGCCCAAAGGGACCTTGGAAGTTTCGGCATTGCATCCACTCCACCCACCCTTCCTGGATTTGACATTTCGGCACGGTTTCACCATTCTACGGGAATTCCCGTTGCACAACACGTGCAAAGAATGATGGCCTTGGGAACGTTCGCAGGGTTCCCAGATGTGCTGGGACAGCAACTTATTTTGATTCATACCAGTACTGTACATCAAACAAATGGTTGACGCCACATAAGCATGCAGGTCAATGGCAAACTTTAATATGTCCTTGTTTTCTTCCTGATATCTAGTGCAGCACGTTTCATGGAAACTTGATGCTATCAAACGACCGCAGAATTGTTGAACAGTTAGTCATGTAGACAAGGGACCAAGTGTCAAGTCAACGAGATTGGTGAGGCTGTCCAGCGTGGTCACAGAAGAGTGGTTTTCAGTCTCTAGTGGTTTTCAATCTTTCGTCACTGCTCAGCGTCAACCTTTGTTCAGCATGTTGTCCGGTCTTGACACAGCTGGAAAGGACTTGCCAGCTTTGGCCGAACTTCAGCAGGCAAATGACAATTTGAAGGCCCATTGCGATTTGTGGTTGGAATCTCCTTTGCAAACACATGTAGGTCATGTTCCAGTCTTGAGGAGGCATTTGGGAAAAGTGACATGTGCTTCTGTGCTGCTGCGTTTCTGTGGAAAATGACATCCAACACGCAGTTAAACAAGCGTTAAATGTTTTTGCGTTTTTTTTTACTGATTTGATATGTTGGTGGTCCGGCTTCATGCCCTGGAAAGGCCTTCTTGAACACATTTTGTGACAGTCTTCGGGAACAAAGAATTGAGCGCCAAAAATTCGAGGTTCACGTGGTGACCGGAAATTTGGAGTGCAGGTAAAACAAGGGTTTAGAAAGTTGAGGATGGTCACACTTATCGAGGATTTTCGAATAAAATAGAACATAATATAATATAGAAACAAAAGTCAAAGACGGTGAGTTCAATCTCATCATATTCCAGTCCCGTTTTCTGTGACTCCCTGGATTGCATCATTGGCATCACAACAATTCTGCTACCCTTCATTTGTTAGCACACAACTACATATTTAGGGTCTTTGCTTGGATGCACCCTTTATGCATAATTGAAGTTGGCTTGGACATGTGGACCTTCACCGGGTACTTTTTTTTGACTTTTTGCTGTAAACTCAGTGAATCCCTCACCCACCATGGCTCACGGTTTCTCGAAGGAGAAGCTGAAAACTGTCGAAAGCCAGCTTTCAGATGCGAGTCGGGAGCAGGACCCAACATGCAATGGCATGGCACGACATGGTTGCGATTTTGGATGGTGCAGACCCATGATTCTCAAAGGAACAGGGTTTGACCTGAAAGCCATTTCTGTGCCATTTCTATCCATGTTTCGGTTATATCTTTGCCAAACCTTCATTGCCAGCCCTTTCATGGAAAAGCGAGCAATCTATATACTGTACTTGTTTACATCCGTCACGGTGTCAGAGCAGGGTGGCCGTCAAGTACATCCCATGCGCCACAGGAGGAGGTCAAAAGACTGCTGGAAGAGTTTGCAGCGTATACACTTGCAAACGCAAAAGCTGAGGTGCGGAATGCAGATTCGCATGTTGTACATAGACGTTTTTTTCTCGTAAACTACAAACTCAGACAAATTCAGGTTCATAGGCAGGGTTAGCAGCGTCTTTGACTTGTCGTTCAATTCCACATGTGTAGTCGGTGAATACGGGACAAGTCGACACTTATTGTACCTTTCATAATTCCCGAACATGGACTTGAAATGACTTGAAAAAGCATCCATAATTTCAAAGTTTCCATCAGTTCCATCATCTGTCAAATCAGTGTTGACAGTGTTGGTTCATTGTTTTCGACTGGTTCATCTATGTTGTCCCTGCAGGAGCTAGTTCGGGCTGTGCTTGACGACCTTGAAGCCTGGATGACTTTAAAGGAACGGGCGGAGGCCGAATCAACTAGAGCAAACGGCTGAGGATAATTGGACAGGGCAGATATCATTGCCATCCTGGCCCCTTGATTCCTTTGGTCCCATTCATCCTGCTATGGGTTTCACAGGTTTCCAGACAACCACGCAACCGGTAGGATGGCATTCCTGTTTGCTTTTTTGCACGATAAACCTCGACAGGAATGCATCAAAAAGCAACCACAGATGCTATGTCAACAGGCACCGCCATGTCTATCCAAACAAACATAGTGTTCCTGATATCCTGTGCATGTCTAGCATACATGGCATGCAAAGAAACTTGGACCAAATAGGATCTTTTATGTTTATACTTTTACTGTACATGTTTGAATATGACCTCCATTCCATTTTGAATGTTTCCATGCGCTGGCTGTGAACCTTTTTCGAATGCACCTTCCTGTCGACCAGGCCGCCACAGCATCCTCTGAGAGCTTGGCGCTCAGCATTTGTTTTACGCCAGATACGCATGGAATCCTCTCAGGAATCCTTTGGGAGCCACTCTGCCTTGGTCATGCCAAGGCCAAGACACCACAGCTGAGGGCAAAGCTGTCGAGAAGAAGAACAGGTTGGGCAGCGGGCTCAAAGTTGAGGCGAATAGCTGGATGTGTTGCCAGCAGAGGAGGTTGACATTTGTCCGGGTCACATTGTAGTAATGACTACCACTTCTCCCGTCTCCATCTGTCAAGCTCAGCAGTTGCTGCTTCTTCCTGGTACTCGTACAGATGATGTCACTTCGAATCTGAAAAAAATCTGAAAACTCATGGAGCTGGCTGAAGATATCACGACACATGTTTTTTGTACTCTGACAACGTGGCATAGTTCAATTTGATTTGAAGCAATGTGTATGAACGTTTGTCACCTTTGTCACCTTTGTCACCTAGGCCGGACGGAGCTGCACAATGCCGTGTGCAGTGGTGACAAAAACTACGTCCAGCAGCTCCTGAAAAATCGCGCGTCTGTTGATGCCACGGATGGAAGTGGTCCGAAACTTAGAGCGAACAGAATTGCAAGGTATTGTTCTTGAGAAGTGAAATTCAAAGCTTCCATGATCCAATCCAGTGACAGTTGAGAAGGGCACATCAGCACCTTTTAGTGTTATTTTCTTAGGCTTTCCGGCGGCGCTGAGGCCGGACACCACTACACTTGGCCGCCAGTGAGCTCTCGGAACCCGTCAAAATCATCGAGCTACTGCTGGAGGCCAGAGCCAGGACTGAGGCTGAAGACCTCAGCGGCCCGGAGCCTCAGAGCTCTTCACATAGAATATGTGAATGTGTATGATCTGAGCCCTCGGGTCCAACTGAATTCCCATTGGAGAGTAGATTCAGTCTGAGAGCTTTCAATTTCAGTACGTATATAGACACAGCCTTGTCATATTGATTTGGAAAGGTTTGAGGTCTCCTGTAAACTCGCGCAGTTCTGGCGTTTGATGTCAAACTTGCCGCTAAGGTTTCACTCCCTTGAATTTGGCGTGCGATTCGAAATGCAAGGAAGCGGTGGCTGTTCTGCAGAGTGCCGCTCCTTGACTGGCAAAATTTGACTTGTTATGTTTTTTGCAATTGCCATTGAATTTGGTCGAGTCTAGCCATGAGATGTGCAAGTAGATGTGCACCCAATCTCTATTGTGCCATTCTTTTTTATTTTGAATGATGTTTATTCTTGCCGGACCGAACTACAGAATGCCGTCCTCAAGGGTGACGAAAACTGTCTTCAGCAGCTCCTGCAGAATCGCGCGTCCGTGGATGCCACTGACAGAAGCAGCCCGAATCTTTGGAGCGTACCGAGTTGCCATGTGCTCACCATGGCGGCAATGTCTGCTCGAGGTCCTGGATGTTGTCTGTCTGGTGTATGCCAAGGCCGGACAGCCCTACACTTGGCCGCCAACGAGGTCTCCGGACCAAGCAACATAATGCGGATGCTACTTGAGGCTAGGGCATCGCTCATGGCCAAAGATGTAACTGGCCTGGACCCTCAGAGTTCTCTACCAACAGGGAATGAATAGCGATACATGAAGTTTACATGAAGTATATCAAAGTACACGAATGTGGTCGATAGCATTTTCAAAGTGCTACTGTATGTGCTGTGCTGATCATGCCCAATATCATTCATGATTTGAGGTCGAGAAGGTAGTAGGGATTCATCGTTTTGACGCATCGCCTGTGAGGTTTAACGCCCATGACATTGGCTTGCCAATCAAACTGCCAAGAAGCAGTGGCAGTTCTGCAGAGTGCCGTTTCCCGAGTGGTAAACAACGACTTCATTTTGCAAAGGGGTCTGAGTAGTTACAGCATGAAACTTGATGTACGGATGAGAGGCCATGTCCTGGTCTAGGACGCTCAGTAGGTTTCTTGGATTCAGATAACTTGCACAGTTCTGCTGGGTACATGTGTATAAGGTGATGGCAGACCAGGCAGAGAAACTCAAAGACGAGGCGGAAGGATTCAATTGTTGGGTAAGTTTTGCCTAGATTGTCTTGACGGCGCAAGATGTGGGTCGGTACATATCAATCCTCAACTTTTAAAACATAATGCCGTATGAGAGGCTTGAGATCTTGCTTTTTGCATGTTCATCTCTGCTTTTCCAGAAAACATCTTCATGCGGAAAAAATGTCAAACTTCAAAGGGAACAACTCAAAAGCCAGCTTTGGCGCCACAATGCACCTCTTTGGTTCCAGGAGCAAGCAATTATTCAGGCGCAAAGCAAGAGCCTGAAAGTAAGTTTGAGATGTGAATAAGAGGATTGACCATTTTCCCCGAAGACACGCTGTGGAGCGTTCCCAGATTTTTGATTTTCATCAGGCTTCAGGATCTTCAGGTATTCGTTGATAAAACTACTTCCTACATGATAGACCAGGTGTTTAGACACGCCAACTGGTGTCCTGGGAATTTCGCAAGGCGCAAAAAAAGGTTTTTCGTGTAAGGGACACTGAACATGGATTCCATACCTACCCCGATGACGGCGGCATTTTAGCTGTAGCAGGTACGTACTCTGACTTCTTCTGAACGTTGTTGTTTTTTTCGTGTGAGTTCCCTGGTTTGGGATTGTGGGTAAGTCGCAAGCTTTTCTTCTAAACTTCCTTCAACAAAGTAGCCGCACAGCTGAGGCAGTCAACAGCATTCAACAGAGTGCGGGCACGATTTTTTTTCATGTGTCCGTCACCCTCTCTGATCCTTGGTCTTATGTAATTTCTTCTTCCTGTCCGTTCCCATCCTTTCCCGTTGAGCTCTTGTGGTAGGAATGTTGAACTGGCCCACAAAGGTCACTTGAGATCACTTGAGCTTTCAGGGTAGAAAATCTCATTTTGTCTCAGCTTCATACTAAATGCTTGGGAAATCTTGGACATATCTCAACACCGAACTGGAGGCCAGAGAAGAGTGGAACAAATTTGTTTTCGAGATCAAGGCAGGAAAATCTCCGCAAAGCCTTGCAGAAAGCAAGGCATTGGGACTACTTGTCATGCAAGAGAGCCGGCTGCACAAAACCCCAAACCAGGCACTTTGGGAGAGCAACAAGTTGAAGCAAGTCCTGGAGATCCAAGAGCAACGATTTGGCAAGGACATGAGTTTTCAAAAATACGATGAATGACATCTTTAAATAATTAGCATTGTTTGGGGAAAGAACTCTCGGCAGGTCAAATGCACTTTATCTGTCAGATCCGTTTCTTGACCTGTGCGTAGGAGGATAGAGACACCCTCAGCACCAAGATCGATCTGGCGGCTGTTCTGCAGCAGCAAAAAGATTTCACCGCAGCACAGCAACAGCTGGAGGAAGTTTTTGAAGGTCTTGGCCGAGCTCCGTCTACCAATCTGAAGGATGAACTTTGTGGTTGGCCCTACTTCCCAAAACCCCAAAGATTGAACCCGTAGCCGTAGCCCTTTGCTAGATGCTTTCAGTTGTCGAAAACCAGAGTTTCCTTGACGCCAGGACGACCCAATTATGCACAGGGCTGTCGACCACTTTGCGAGTTTACTCGGCTGCCTTCACAACGACAAGGATCCTTGCCTGATATACAGTTTGATCATGTTTGATCATTTTTGATCAACATTTGCCTGCTAGATGTAAAATGTCAATAGCACATACCAAGATTGTAATAATCTTGCAAATTTTGCATCGAAAGACATTTGGTCAAGTGTCCAACCGTAAAGCCCGCTCCAGCCAAACTCTGAAATCTCAGCTTGAGGATTTGTTTGAAGATACGTGAGTTGGGATTGGGTTTAAGAGTTTAGA